TAGTAGTTGGGATGCATTCAACAGCTGCCACCCGAGGTTAGTCCGGTAAAATTCGCCCATCTTAACTTATGGACTAGGACCTCCTGCCATTCTCACACATGATTTACTCCTCTCTACTTGAGAATGAGTAATCACAGAATATCAGGATAAATGCCACCTTAGCATGACCACATTCATACTTTACCATTCAATAACCAAATTCTTAGATATTCCTCCCTGGAATACTCTTTCATAACCATACTATTTCATTCATTTCACAATTTAAATATCATCATACTTCATCATCAATACATTCAAACTGGCCCAAGAAAATAATAACCCATCTTAAAGACAAGATCGAACGAGAGAATACCTCTTAAACTTATCTAACCGAACACTTAGTGTAAGACCGAACGGTCTTTCACTTATCCACAGAATAGGACCGAACGGTCCATACGAGGCAAGACTCATCATAAGCCTAACAATTGTAATAATAATAAGAAACATTTAAAGGATACACAACAATTTTGGCCGAAAGGTCTTTACTAGACAGAACTCATGGAAGGTGGGTAATACTTTATAATACTTATATTTAAACCTAACTGAAGATGATGAAATTTTTTATTTGAACTAAGAGTTTTAAACCGAACACTACCAACTAGGGCCGAACACTCTTAATACCTAATGCAGATATATTATGGAATATTATAAGACCGAGCACTTAATTTGAAGCCAAGCACTGAGACCGAGTACTTGGTTTATGACCGAACACTACTGAGACCGAGTACCTGGTCTATGACGGAACACTATTGAGACCGAGTACCTGGTCTGTGACCGAGCACTACTGAGACCGAGTACCTGGTCTATGACCGAACGCTTACTTACAAATATACTAAGATAAAACCGATCGGTCACTCAGCTGCTCACACCTGTCTTCCACTTTCTGATTTTCACTAACACCTGGCTTCCACTCACACGAAATTTAAGGGTTTTGACAATTTATATTATAAATAATGCATGACTCTTTTTTTCAAGCTTGTCTTTATAAAACTTAACTAGTTATTTTAACTATTAAGATGCATGTTTCTTATTTAGAGTTACTTTGTGAAATGTTTTATTACGGGAAACTGTAACACATTTGTTTTTATAGTGTGAAAATTCTGAATTGAGATTTTTGTCTCATTGATTATATATATTAGCGGTGTTGCCTTATCCTATATTTTGGATGTTAGCAATGTTCCGGTGTCTGTGATAGTGTCATGTCCGATGAATGCCTTACAGATTATTGCAATCGAGACCTGGCATAACCTTTTTTCTGTGCAATAGAAGGGTATGAATATTGCCTTTCCTTTTGGCCTTTATTCTCACTCACTCAAATGCATGGTTTTAGATTGTGGTTATGATTATAGTGGGAATATCATAGTAGTGGTTTGCAATTGCTGTTGCGATATGGTTGAGTAGATTTTAACTTCTCAGCAAACGTACCAATTGATGTTGCTTATTGATAAATCAAGTCATCTTTATAGCGATTTGCACAAGTTGGACAATTTAGATATTCATTAATTAAGACTTAAAAAACTTTAAATCAATATTGAAGCAAAGAGAATAAATACTATCCTACAATTGAAACAACAAATTGAATAAGATTTATATAGTTTTTCTAAAGGACTTGCAAGCTTATAAAAACTGATTAAAAGGGTATAAAGATGTCACCATGGTTGGGTTTCATGAACTGGACACAATAGTTTCCAAAACTTTAATTATAATTTCGAATATAACTCTTCCATTCATATTGTAGTTTAATCAAAACCCTAATTTGTAGTGGAAAGAGCCTAAATTTTAATGTAGAAATTTTATTCTCTTTTATCTTAACACAACATTTGCATAAAAGTAAGTGAAACTTTTTGTTGAAGCTTTGGAAAACAAAATAACTTTTACTAGATGGTCTAGAGGAGGGATCGTCTAGTTGAATACAATGTTTGGATTAAATGAATTTCACAAAGAGGTTAAGGCAATATTTGTTTGATAAGCTATTTGTATAACCGAAAAGTAATCATAGACACTTTTATACTAATTTACTAACTCAAATTGAGTTACATCTAGTTTTACTTCAAGTAACTTATAAAGGATTCCTGTCTAAACTTATTACAACAATTATTTCAACTTCTTCTGGTTCACGAGTTCATCAAGTCACTCCTGCTGACTAACTTTCTCAATCTCTTCCTGAAATTATGAAATTGAGTATTCTTTCACACAAAGTCACTCCAAAGTTTCATGAGTATTGTTTTCTTTGTCACTCTTGACTTACAAACAAGAGTTTGATGGAAACAAGATCAACTCTTAGAAGAGAGGATTTACAAATAAGACTACTCCTGAAAAGACACCAACTTCAGTAAGTGGATAATTTACAGGTAAAAGCTCTTTCTTAAACTAGAAGACGTAGGTAGACTGTTTAGTGTTCACTTTTTTATGTCAAGATTTTTGTGTGCAATCTTTTTGCATGAATTGGACGTGATTCTCTTTTATTTTTTTGGTAATATTCCAGTGGTCCTTGCATGAGTTTGAGCATCTCCTTCTATAGGCATCTTAGATATGACTGGTGGAGCTTGCATGTGTTTCTTCATAAGGTTTTGAGCTTTCCGTGCATTAGGTGTATTAAGAAGTAGACTTTAAGCCTAAGTCAATCCAACAAAACCGACTTATAAAGTGAGGTTTGAAACCACTTATACACTATAAATTGGCCTTATCTCTGTCGATATGGGACTTCCAACACATTTCCCTCACGCCGAGGTATATACATCTCGAGCGTGAGACTAGATATTAATGGGTGGTCCGCTAGTGGCTCCTAGCGGATGGAACAACATGTCCAACAAACAACAAATATTACTAAGATAGGCTCTAAATATAGCTATGATACCATGTTAAGAAGTGTACTTTAAGCCTAATTCAACCCCATAAAATTGGCTTGTAAAGTAAGGTTTGCACACATTTATATACTTTAAATTGACCTTATTTCTAGTCGATGTGGGACTTCCAACAAGGTGTGTGTTTGACCTTTTTCATGTTTTTTCCTGAAAGTCAGCTGCATGGCGAAGCATGTAAGTCTCGTGACACGAGATAACATGCTTTTGTGTGTAGAGGGTTGTAGCAAGTCATTTGTTGACATAGAACATGTTGCTTTTTATCATTTAACCTCAAATTCAGGATGGTCAACCTGTATTGTTTATAGACAGTCTGCCAGTGCTTTGAGCTTACACGTCTTGTGCTACAAGGCTTTGTCTATATGTAGAAGTTTCTTGTGAGCTCTTAGATGGTAGATGGCTTGACGTATATGACCTAATAGATGTTTGAATATGGCTTGCGTGTTTTGTTCAGGTTTTAGTCTTTGCAATTACTAGTATACATGATAATTAATAGTAGGGATTGCCTTACTATGTAAGAGATTATGTGTATTAGATTGTTCGGGGCCAACAAACATAAAGTAAGTTCTATTCTTAATGCCAGTTTGCTGAGTTGATGGATTGTCTATGTTGTTGAACAAAACATGACAGATTTTCTTTGAGTGTTGCTTAAGGTTCATGTAATAGATTTTATTAATTGCTTTCAATTACTAAAAATATTCAGTTATTTACGTTTTTACTTTTAAGAATAAAAGAACTTATGATCATTTCTCATTAACCAATATCATAAAATCACTAACATGGTTACTCCTTAACCAGTGTCATAAAAGCACCAATAAGCATTGGTTTATACTTTCGAGTATAAATTATACTTTTTGTTTCATTAACTATTGTCACTAAAACGCTTATTAAATTGTTTCCCCTTTGATACTTTTGCTCTGTTTGCCCCTCAAGTATGGGCAGAGGTCTTACGCCGGCTAAAGAGTTTCATCTCTTTGAGTGTATTTAACTCTGGCACCTCAAATAAGGATCACCTGCTTCATGTTTTCCATATATTTGCAAAAAGATATGACGTGGCCGCTCTCTTAATATTTTCTTCTTCTAAACTGCCTTTAACTATTGATCTCTTATAAAACAGGAAGATGAAGCAGAAAGGAAGGCCAATGAAGAGATCAAAAAATGTCCGAAAGATGAAAGCAATAGCCAAAGCTGTATCCTCTAACGAGAAGTCCATTGAGAAGGTGTCGAAGAATGAAAACAAAAGAAGTAGAGTTAAATCTGCAAAATCACTCTATGAATGAACGATCAAGTGCCTCATATCACTTGAAGAAAGTTTGATATATCAAGATACATGCCTTTTAAATTTAATGTAGCTAGATATAATTAATTATTAGTTTAAGAGTTCTTTTTAAGAATGAAGTTCCTTTCTTGTTGCATCCTTATGGTAATTATGATTTATAGTTTTATGTACTTTCTTTCTGCTGTCTAAATGATGTTAAGGTAAAGTCATAGCTCCGTTTCTACTATTAAGCATATTTGAGTTCATTCACAGCCAATAATCCAAGTGAAGCAAACCAGAATAAATTATATGGTTTTTGAAATTTATTTTTCAAGGTTCCAATAACTTAAATTTAGTAGACAATGAAAATTATAATTCTTTTTTTACTTTTCTGTCTTAAAAGTAATTATGAGAAAAACTTGTACTATATTTTAGTTCATAAATGATTACATCTTAAGAAAACGATGAGGTATAATTGAATAAGATAAATAAAAATAGGCCCCTTTAAAGATATACAAGATACAATGTTTTGATGGAGAAAAATAAAGTGCGTGTAAACAAACGCCATCTTCATTTGCGTTAACACATTGTTCATATACATCCGTCGTTGAAGAATTTTTTCTTCAATATGAATATCGAGATTGAAGAAAAGAAGTAGAGGTATAAGATTTTTTAAAATATAAAAGATAATTTTATAATTTTTTAAAAATGTAATGGTTCAGGGAAATTGGGGTGGTGTAGGGATAACCCTCCTATAATTTATATGAACAAACACAATTTGAATAAAAAGTTATTTCTATTCTTTTAGCAATGGATTAATTAAATTTCTATCTATTTTTTTTACTAAAAGATTTCTATTTTCACGTTTTTTTTTTCTTTTATCACTTGCCTACTTTCTTTCGTGCGTTATATTTGGCGTCTCCTTAAGAAGCGGTTATATGCTGCATGGGTGGCTTGTTTTTCATTTGTTAGACTCTGATACCTGTTGTTTTTCTCACAATTCTCTTTGGGTTTCTCGCTGAGAGCTTCAATGGGTTCTTCATCCCCTTCTTCCTCCTTCTCTTCCTCTGCTTCGTCGTCGTCCTCCTCCTCATCTTCTTCTACAGTGAACAACCCCAACATCTGCATGCACTGCAACTCCTACATTACAACCTTGGTTAACGGGTGGCCTCTCGGTGATGGTACTGTAGCTCAACTCTGCCACCGATGCGGGTACCTTCTTTTTCTTTACTTATAGTAAATAATCTTTTCTTCTTTCTTTCTTTCACTTGTTTCTTCAATACATGTACATTTTCTAATTGATTATGTTTGATCTTTATGAGTTCTTGATGGGTTTATGAGACCTAGCCACTCTACATATAAATCTTGGAGATCATTTTGTTATTGGGTGTTATTCAATCACAAAAAAACTTCAGATATAAGTGTGAAAAGGGTATTTCACATTCCCATCATGGCCTAGGATTTGATTAATCTGAATAATTTGTTTACGTAAGTGGTTTGAACTTGAAAATGTAGCATATTCTATCAAGAAGGAACCTTTTGTGAGACATTTCACAGGAACTGTACGGGATGGTTAGAGTGTGCAGTTTGCCTGAAGGTAAGGTTGGTCCATTTTGAAAGTCTTTATTTTGAAAGTGTATACTAATTGTTGAAGTAAGAAGTGTTGAGTTGTTTTTTCAGAAGTTGCATACTAATTGCATTGTGTCAAGGTCAGAAGTTCACTTCAAGTTGTTTGGAAGACTTTGTTGCAAGGTTTGTGCAAAGAAACTCATACGAAGATGAATATTGGCTTTCTGTTGCTATGCTTTCTATAAGCTCAAATCTATGATACAAATGTTGTTGTCAATCTTATCATTCCTCAGTACTTGCTTCAGTAACAGACATGATATGATATCATATATTCTTTCATGATATGATATGATACACCTCACTTATATTCTATATAAGTAAATTGATTTATTCACGTATGCTAATATAATTTATACTTACCAAATATAAATAATCACAATGAACAATCATTCTGATTTTTTAAACGGTGTCTGTCAAAGATATAGATAAACATACAATAATGTTATAGTAAAAGTTGAAATTTGGTGAAGTAAAAAATAAGAAAAAATCCAAAACTGTTTTCGACTTATTGTTAGAAAAATAAATTAATATGTTTTCCCGACAAAAGAATATAATTCTTTTTAGCTTTAGTTTAATTCTAAATTAGTATATATGTATATACGAGTTTTGATAACGATTAAAACAGATTTTTTTTATCATGATTTTAATCTGTTATTTAAACGATCATCGTTAAAAATATAGAAAAAACAACGACGATTGATGTAATTGTCTTTAACTTTTCTAAAATCACGACAGTTTTTAAAATCTCTCGTCATAAGCTATATGAAACTTAAAAGTAAAATATTTAAAATTACAAAACCACGACTATTATCGCTCTAACTGTTCTTATAAGCTATATAAGATTTAAATAACAAAAAAAAAA